CAGCCTCGAGGGGAGCAGCGTGTGGGTCCTCGTGCACCAGCAGTTTTGGTAGCACATCTTCCAATTCAGGACATGACTGATACTTCAATTACCTTTGAATTCACTCAAGCAAATTTAGAAGGATTTCATTGCTCGTCTAGGGCTCAGTGTTACTTAAGGAGCTGTATCAGCCTTCCAGGCCATTTCTGGGGTTGTCTGCAAACACCAGCCCTTCCCACTTTAATTCAGGGTGCCCGTCAGCAGGGAAGAGATGCTCTCCCAGGCAAGGGAAATGTTCCACTCTCCCCAAGACCGCAGCTTGCAGGAAGGCTGGAAGTTGAACAATGCATACGGGTCACGCTTCCTGCGTTTCTTCCTGATGCACAGGAGGAGCGACGAATTCCCTTTGCCATCCGCTGGGAAGAACTGGAGTAGCTCAGCCTGCAGAGATCCAGGGCGCAGTGGCTCACGCTGTGGGAACTCCTAGCAGGGCGTGAAAGCAGAGGCAGCGGCAATTGTACAAACGCTTGAGTTGGTTAAACACACTTGATAAGATTTCTTCAGCGTGTGACCTGTACCAGGCCTTATCAAGAGTAGGGTCTCAAAGGAGTTAACAAAGGTGGTCTCCAAACAAAGGTGATCTCAAGGACATCTTATTGCAAAGGGTTCCCTGGACCCCATCCCTATGTGCTGCTGCACAGCCCGCTTCCTTGGCTGCTCCTACCTGCAGACCAGGCTAACAGCAGCAAGATATTACACAGATTTGGGCATCTTCTGACGCAATTTATTTGCTGGAAACAAGGCAGAAGAGTGTTTTCCCTATAAGCTCAGGGAGTTTCCAGGGATCATGATGATTTTAGAGCTCTGCCGTGGGCTCTCCTTGCACTTTGTGAGCACAGAATGAAACATTGCAAGTAGTGGAAAGAGACAGAGAGACAGTGCCAGAGATAATGAGATAAGAAAAGCAAGGTGTCATCATGCGCCTGATCCTGCAATCGTTATCTCCGATGGCAATTCCCATTGCTTTCATCAAGGTCTCAGGCAAGAGGATGAATGCCGGATCTGGCCCAGCGTGTGTGATGATATCAATGGTTCGTTGTCACGGAGCTGGGAATTACTGCCAGCATGTTAACATCCCCTGCCGCCCACGCTTTTATTCTATATCATCACATGCTCTAGAGAGTCGTTCGCTGCTGCTACACTCTGCTCAAAACACCGTGGCAATAAAGCTTTGGTGAAGTGTCCCCAGCTTTGGGTTTCCTCCTGCCATTCAAACCACTTGGAGCTCCTACCAAACCAAACCAAACCAAACCAAACCAAACCAACCAAACCAAACCAAGCCAAACCAAACCAAACCAAACCAAACCAAACCAAACCAAACCACAAGGCTCACCCGTGCCAAAAGCCCATGGCAGGGCTCAGCAGCCAGAGGCGTGGGGAGGGGAGATTAGTCAGCAGGCAGATCGGCTGGGCTCCCCGGCCCGTTGATTTTTTTGTCTGATTTCAAGCGTGACGCAATCCGACAGCGGCGCGAGGGTGCAGGGGTTTCATTACACACCCACTCGCCACCTACACGCTCTGCCCCGACCCACTGAGGAGCAGCACACCTGCAGCACCGGCAAACATCAGCAGGTCTGTGAGCGTTTGACACCCACAGCTGCATCTCTTGGTGCTACGCAGATCTGTAGTCAGACAGTCAGATTGCATTATTTTTTTAAAAAAAGCTATATAAGAAACAGGAAAGAGCTTGCATCTTCTATCACCACTCATACCTGGGCTTTTTATCTCTCAGGGCAGAGGAGAGTTGGTTCTCGCTCTCCCTTGCGCACGGAGTCACAGTGCTTGCTGGGAAGCGACCCACAGGGTCGGGCTCTGGTTGTGTGCACATATAGGACACGCACACGCAGAGCACAAGCCTGGGCATCACCGGCTTTGCTGTTGCAGCTCAGGCATAGAAACATTCCTCGTGCCTGTTTATGAACAGGGGCCGCCAGCCCCTCAGCTCCTGGGATTTCACTCCTGTTTCCAGCGGGAAGAGACGCGGTAACATCACCGGTGCAGATGTGGCGTTCCTGGCGAATGCCGCGAGTGTGGGAGGGAGCCGTGCACACTGCTCCCCTCCCCGGCTTTCAGCAATGCTCCCAGCAACTCTGCAGCAAGCAAACAGCTCTCAAGATCAAAGTGACATGGAAAGGACATAGTCTGATTGAATTTGCTTGTGGTCAACAGGAAACTTCACCTCTCACTTTATGTGTTAATCTACTCTTTTCTCCCCCACTCTCCCTGAGGTGGACTCCCTTCTGGATCCGAGAAAAACCTCACCCTCATTAGGGCAATTAATTAGCCAGAGAAACACAGCACTGAAGAACCCAAAACCCAAGCAGGCCTTACGTTCCCTTTCAGTAACTCCTGTACGAGGCTTTGCTGAGATTTGTGTTTTTCTGCCACACATCTGACTCCACTGCCTGTTCCCTCCCTGGCCCACTGGTCCTCCATGGATGTACCTGAAAACAAGGCCGAGAAGTGACGCTGCTTTAGGCCAGATTGTCTGTGAGGACTTTCCGAGTCCTCTTCCATTCAAGCCCTTGTGAAGCCCTGTGTGGACTCTGCCGGCTGCATGGCATGAGAGGACTTTCCTTATACACAGGGGCCTTTGGTGAAGCAGAGCCCTGGTGCCTGGTATTAGGTATCTACCACGGGACATCCCTTTTGCTGGCCTACGACCAGCCTGCCCAAGGGTATTTGAACTCAGGGAAACATTTTGCAAAGGTTCTTTCTCCCTAACACATCAAGACTATGCTGCTACTTGACCACTGCTGAGGCACTACAAAGTTTAATGCACGCCTGATGTCTCTGACACCTCAGGGCCTTCCCTGATCTGTAGGATCTCTCCCTGTTTTTCCCCTGTCTCAGTAAAGCACAGTGGACAGGGCAGAAGGATGCACCATAAAAGCCATGTCCCTCCAAGCAGCTCTCCTTCACAAAGCTGCATGCAGAAACGAGACGTTTTGGGCCCCTTGCATTGCACTGACAGCTCTCCACGGCAACACGTGGATCAGTAAGGACAGCCTGCCGATCTCCTGGGTGGTCTAGCCTTCTGCATGCCCCTATTTCATTAAGAATGGAATCAGGGGAGCGAAACCACAGATGAGTCAACACTTACTAGCCAAACAGGACCTAGGGGAGGTGAACTAGGGACTTGACCCTGAAAGCAGATACGACAGGGCAAACAAGTGGCTGCAGAGGAAGGGCGGCCTCGACAGAGTGAGGGGCAGCCTGCCAGGGGACAAGTCTGTCACCTGGAGACTGGCAGATCAAGACGGATGAAACACAGGCCCTTGGAGCTGGAAGAATGTGGTAGGTCAACAGAAGCTGGAAATAAATACATAGCCACGAGTCGCCTTTCAAACTTGGCATCCAAAATGAACAACAAAGCAAAGTCAACAAGCTCCTGGAGGTACCTGGTTTCCAGGCAGTTGGGTCTAAGGCACTCAGAGGCACTCCAGGAGAGCTGAAGACTAATTTGTGTCAGCACTGTGCAAACACTGTAGGGTTTGGGTAGCAAAAGGATTCAGAAACTGAACCACACTGTTTGCTTTGCAGTGGGAGGAAGAAAACCCACAACTGTGGCTCTTGGTCTGCTGAGCGTGGGGCTCTGAGGGGTGTCCCATGGTGCCCCCTCCGTGCACACAAGATGCTGGGTGGATGGGGGACATGGAGTAGTAGTCCTCCACCAAACTCAGCAAACCACCTGAAGATACTCTGCTTTCCATGCAGCTCTGGCTCTGAGAGCCATCCTGTCCTCCAGCTGCACGTCCAGCCGTGCAGCACGTGGCCGCCCGGCTCTGTCCTCACCCTCAGCCGGAGCACAGCCAGCAACGCGCTGTGCAATAACGCAGAGCAGGATTACAGCCACTTCAGAGGAGGTTTCCCCTGGAGACTTGCAGAAGATCGAATTTGTTATATGGTTCCTGTTTGGCGAGTCCTCGGTGCTCTTTCACGCGGAGAGGTTACGGCCGCCCTCTCACCGCAGCGCTGCCGGCAGCCCAAACCCCATACACAAGTCAGACTCATTTCTGCCCAAACTACCCCAAGGGCCCTGTTCGTCGGGGTGTTGATGGAGGGAGCACGCGGGGGCAGACCCCCTGCAGTCAGGGCACCACAGGACGGGCATGGTCTGCTTTCTGTTGCTGGCCAGCAGCCGTCCTGTTTCCCATTTCAAGGCTGTTTTAATACCCCTGAGGCAAACACATCTAAAAAGTGGGATGATGTTTCAGCCCCCATCCGAGCATGCATGGGAAGCCCTAATCCAGGCCAGTGCTGAGCTGAATAATGCCTAGTTCTTTCTCCACATCCCGATGTCTCCCGGGCCGCTGGTGGGCTTCTCCTTGCAGCGGGGGGCTTCACCCCTTTCTGTGCTCCTGCGTCACCCCCACGCACGGCCACGAAGGCGGGCAGGGAGGTCGGTGAGCTGCAAACACCCACCCGGGGCCTCCGTGTTACCCCATGGCTCTAATTGGCAACAGATGCAGCCAGACTATTTCCTGAGAGATGAGAGTTTTAACAATCCCTAAAGCCTCTTAGGCAGCAGCAACATCCTAAATGGGAGCTTTATTCCCCGCACCGCTCAACAGAGCCTGTATTCAGACATAAAATGCTGAAATACTCGCTCAGGAGCCCCGCTTGGGACTGGAAACCTTCCCCGCAGGCCTGGGGTGTCCTGGATCGCCCCCGGGAAACTGCGGAAAACCCTCTCATACCAAAGAGCTGCAAAGGCCAGGGGGACAGGACGCCCCAAACCAGAAAGCTCCTTGCTGGATTCGGAGGTTCCCCTCGAGCCCCGGACTCTCAAACCTGGCGGAGTCTCCCTGTTCACAGAGGTAGCTTTCGTGTCCTGACCCATCCCCTGCGCAGCGGGTCGATTGCACACGGACATCCCCAGCACTGGTGGCGAAGCCCAGGACTGTGACCCATGGTGCACCAGGATGTTTTGCTTTCTAGGAAGCCAGAGGCTTCCCTACCCTCACAAACCAGGAAGATGGAGGGCAAAGCACCCCACTTGTCCCCTGTCCCACGCGTAGGGTGGAGGGCATACTGCCGACGATGCACAGCCCCTGCTGCCGAAGGGCGAGGGAGCTGCTGCCAAGGGTTCACGTGAGCTCGCAGCATTCCTCCAGAAGCTCCTCTAATCTCGCTGACCGCGGCGGGTGGACGGCAGCCAGTTGCCATCCCTGCATTCTAGGCAGACCTCTCTGCAAAGCCAAGGCGGTGTTATCACTGAGGGAGTTAAAAGGGAAAAAAAAAGAAAAAAAAAGAAGTTGCCTTGCCAGTCTAACTGCATTTGGTTGATCTGATCTCAGGCATCTGCTAAGACACAGCATGCCTGTTTATCATAATCAGCTTACTGCACAAGGACAGTGTTAACTAGGATTTACTGGATTAAAACCTGCCAACTCATTCATAGCACCTACCCAACCAGTACAAGTGGGCTGAGTCTCTGTGCTCTTTGTTTAAAACATTTTAGCTGGCATTAAATAAAGGGGAGCACCTGGGGAAGGTGGAAGGTTACGAAGGCCCTATTGATCCGTCAGCAATGAAAGGACGTGGGAAATAAAGAGGCTTGTTTTCGAAGCACAGGCAGGTTAACACAGAACAGAGCCGTAAAAGCACTGAACACAAAGACTGTGTCTTGACAGGTTCCCTCTCATTCAAATTGCTCAAGGCTCTTTCTGAAATCATCAGCAATATGACTTAGTGTCAGCTGCAAAATTCCAACTAAACTGGAATTTGCAGATAAAACATGTTGTTAAACGGCCCTGGAGTTGCTAATATAGACTGATATGTTGAGGGACTGGGGGATAAAGTAATGTAATATTTATTTTATAAGTTCCAAAGAGTAAATGTTAGCTGCAGTGGAGCCACATCAGATAATACTGGTGTGAGCAGAACCGGTATTTCACCAAACCTACAAAAAGAAATGTAAAAATAAACTTATGCTTATAAAAAATCCGTAAGAGAAACTCCCACAGTTGAGTATGGCTGGAAACCCTCAGCATCCATGATGACAGTCCAGGGCAAACCCAAGTCCCTCTGCCACCTGGGCCATGGGACATCACACATGCTATAACCTCTCATCTAAGACTTGCCTGTAGGGAGTCCCTGTAAAGCACAAGATATCTGATTTAAATATTTAAAGGTGCTCCCTATGAAGGTGATTTCTCTATAGAAAGTTGCTCCGTATTACAGTAGCTTCTGCTTGGCATTTATCAAAGGGGTCCTTGGATCATTTGAGAAAAATTTCTGACCAGGACCAGCCATTCCTAAGTGCTAGGAATCCTTGCTTAGAAAAAAACCCCAACACATCCAAATCCAGATGCCTTCCTGCCATCATACCCATGGGTATTATCCATCCTGCTCAGGAAAGCAGTGGCCAGACCATGAAGTGGAAGAGGCTGCAGCCTTACCAGTGAGTTGTTCAGAGCCGTACTGAACCCCCCTGCCCAAGACTCTCAGCATCACATCTCCACTTGTGTGCAGTGCTTTACCCCCAGTCCTCTTGTTGCTGTGGGGTTCTGAGACCCTGTATTTAACCACAAAATCCCAGCTGGCAGGGCCTGACCCAGAGTTTTTTTATTAGCTTGTGAGGTGCTCTCCAAGCCCAGCTCCTGTGGTCCTCCAGGTTACCTCAAGGAAGCTGCTTTGACTAAAGACAAATGCAAACCATGTCCCCTGAAGGCTTCAACATAAGAAGGAAAGAAGAACCCCAGTGTATTCTCTTTGCATGGAAATCCCACACTAGGGGACAAGGGGAAGTGGGTTGACTCAGGATTTTTGCATGCTTGAGGTTGGCAGAGCTGATATTTGTGCATTGACACATTAGATAATTAAACACAGCCAGAGTCAGGTGTCGGCTGTAAGCTTCTCCTTCCTCCATTCAAGCCTCCACCTCCTAAAATAGGGGATGATCTTAGATTTCCCAGCAACACCCACATCCTTCCATAAAGATAGGAGCTGTTCCTCACTGGGGTGGACAGGGAGCTACTGCAGCCTCACTGGTTTGGCCATGGCTCCTGCCCACATCCTGTAACACAATGCCTGGTGACTTCCCCCAATGGGCACTGCTCCCTGCGCTACAGAAATCCCCAGATCCTGGCAGAGAGAAGTGGATGTAGATGAACTAGAGCAAAGTGGTGCAAAATGGCAAAAAAATAGGCCCTGGAATGTATTAAGCCACTCTAAGGACCTGCAAGATGACCAAAGGCTTCATGCATGAACATTGCTCTTTAGCCAGCTAAGTCCTTACAGTGGTCAGTGCTCTTGTCTTGGTCCAGACACGCCCCAGAAGGAGGTGTAGGAAATAGCAAATGGGAGGATCATAAGCAGGCATTAAGGCTGATATTACACCGACTCCGTTGACCCAGACCGGCAAGTTGCACATTCCAGGCTGAGTCCCTTGGCAGGAGTTGTCTGACGCCGACTCAAGGACCAAGCATTTATCACCCTGCTCCCACTCCATTTGGTGGGACTCTGTCCCAGCAGATAAAGCACGTTTGCTGCCGTCTCCCTGACTACACTGCTGCTCAATTTGCACATGAGCAACGTCTTGAGGTAAAGCCTCCAACTGCTCCCCACTGGCAGCAGCCAAGCAGCCTTTGCTGTGGTTGGGAGGAACGAGGGGAGGCGACAGGGCCGGGCCAGAGCAGGAGGTGGGAGGCACCAACCCCAAATATTTTTTGTCTCCCACCCACTCATGCTACTACTGGCACATTTATTCCTGCCAGCACTGATATCTTGTGACTCAAGCAATGTAAAACAGACCTGGCTCCTCTGTAACACCCGCAACAAGGACTCCCTCCTACAAGAAAGTCAGTCCATGTGTAAGGCTTTTCCAGCAACAAGCCTCCTCTTCATTCCTTGAGTCCTCAAATTCACCATTGACACCTCTGCTGCCAGCATAGTCAAAGGGGTCTCATCAGCTGCGGCAGAGCAGCTGCAGGGGAGCCAAATCCTGACACCTCCAGGGGCACACGTCCTGCTGTCCAGCTCACTTACAGCAGCAGCTAAGGACTACGTTACATGGCAGCTTGCAAATCTATACTTGGGAAGTTTCCAGGGCTTAGGACACCATGACAGGGAGCTGCAGGGCAGCCAGCATCATCCGAATGGAGCATAAAGGACCAAACAGTGAATTTTATTCCCTCTTTTGCTTGCTGAATATAGTTTTCTCCCCACCCTGCATCTCAGTTTCCCCATCTGTACAAAGGGGCCAGTGATGCTCAAAGCACAAATCACTACCACACTATGTTGGCAGAGTGCTTCTTGTGGAAAGCTTGAGCACAGCATAGGAGTCTGCTTAGCGCACTTTAAAAGTGGCATGTGATATCCGATGCTTAACCTGCATGAAAAATGTCTATGGACCTTTTGTACTGGGGCACTGTAATGTCACACCCTGCCAACGGGTCTCCTGTGTGCACTGGTCCTACAGAGGTGTGGGAAGGATTCATCACCTAGACGTGCAAGAGGATTGTTATGAATAATCTTTCTCCGTGATGTGGAGGTACCAAGGGACTCCAGCCTTTGGCCAGACTGGCAGGAAGCCAGATGCTGGATATACACAGACGCAAAAGACCATTTCTGTCTCAAGGCATTTATACCCCAAGATGGTCAACAGGAATCTTATGTGCAGCAGTGGAGAATCCAAAGGGAAATTAGAGTAGCTACGCATGAATGTGGAAAATATACTGGGCTATTGCCAAGTCAACTTTGCATACTACGGTGAAGAATTTTGGGGTGATAAAGCTAATAATGGTAGTTTGTAATACCTATGCAGGATGGATCCAGCATCCTTCCCAAGCTGGGGCTATGCACTTCAGGATTCCCAGGGTAATCAGAATAGCTCTGGTTCACCCTTCAGTAAACTCCAGTTAACACCTACATCTTGCAGCATGTGCTTAGCCAGGCGACCTGCCCTCCCACCGCCCCAGTCAGCCCTGAGCTAAGCACAGAGCCATCCTTCCCACCCAAGAGGCTGCTGGTGGAGGAGACAGACACCTCCAGTGGCAGCTTTGCAGCTGCTTCTCCCCAGCCCCAGCGCAATGAAAATATGGAGCCATCCCCTGCATGGTGGGGCAGAGTGAACTGAGCTCCTCGTAGACCATGTGCTGAAGCAGATGGACAAAGATGTGTCCTATGTGCCCCTGCCAGCTCCTGGTCACACCAGCAGTACGTGAACCACACTGGTAAACCAGGCAGCTACCTACCAGAAATAAATACGCATGGTAGTAAAACCGTACAGATGGAAAACTCCTATTTCATCTGCCGCATCGTCTGGGTTGTTCCAGCATTAGACACACCAGAGATCAGTTGTTGTTAGGTCCTTTTTGGTGTAGTCTCTAAAAAATCCCTTAATTACGTCCTAAATTAGACTATAGACAGGAAGGCTTCAAAATAGGAAAATCTAAACCACTTCTGCTTCTCAGTTGCAGAGGAACTCTTGAAAATCTCTTAGACTATAAAACAACCCCACAGAACCAGTGTACTGTCCACCTCTCATGCTCTCTGCTTGCAGTGCATTTCAGGTATTCGGGTACTGATTCCCTCTTTTGCATGGGGCTTTCCCAGGATTGAGTAGGCAAGCTCAAAATCCAGTCAATGACTCCATCACTGCTGTGAGCTTTCTAAAATTTCTTACAAGGCAATAATCCATGAGAATAATTTTGTTACCTGATAAACAACACTTGCAGAGAGAGTGGACGGGCTGTCAGGAGACCAGTGCCTTGCTCCTGAATCTGCTTGCGACTTGGTAGAATTTTTATCTTCCTGTCAGCAAGTCACTTTTTACCCGTCTGTTTCTGCCACCTTTGATGAACTTTCCTTTTCAGATGGGTTAAATCATCTCACACTATCTCCTCTCTAATGGGCCTGGGCTGTGGTTCCTGGAAACTGCTTTGCTGTTTCCGCTTGTCAAATGAAAGGTGGAACTGGGAGCACAATTTAAAGTCCCTCCCTTTAAAATGTCATAAAGCCTCTTAATTCTCCTCCTTTGAGAGCTGGGTGCTATTTTTCTGTAAAAAATCAATGTAATAAAATAGGTACAGCCAGAGGATCAGTCAGCAACAGCTGTTAGTAAAATCAGAGTGATGTGGTTTTGTAATGGCTCAGAAAGGCTGTGTAAGACCACTCGTTCCCAGAGTGAGGGACCGAGGCTCTCGTGAGCAGAGATGTTAGCA